GCTGCAAGGCATTGAGACACGTTGGCCATGAAGGATGAGGACTCAGCTGACGGCGGAACTGACACCGGCCCGTGCGAATGGAGACTGACACCATACGACCACACGGTGCTGCTGCTTCTTCTAACAGGGGCAAACGAATCATCACCCCCCTATCGAAGGCCTTCCCATCTTGAACTCACCAATTGAAACACTTGGAGTTCCTTGCGGCGCCCGATACGAAAGCGAATCTGTAAACTTTAAGCTCCGTCACCTGCGAGACTGCCACCTGGTCCCAGGCTGCCACTGCGAGAACTGCACGAAGCCGGATGTTCACTTCCTCCTTAGATGAAGAAGGTCCGTCTCAGTTGAGTTGTTGCCTGAGAGTCTGCAGAACACTGTTTCTTGCCAGCAGGGCTTCATACTTGGGATAGCTCTCGTGGGGCATCTCGTCCAAGCCGGCACCAGTGCGCCCCGCGAAGCTATTGAGGATCCGGCGGCGGTCGATGTCCTTATCGAGCGGGAAACTGCATCTCTGCTTAGAGGCTAGGCATGGCAACGGTTCCAAATCGTGGGTAAGCTTAACAAAATCGAAGGGCTCGAGAGGCTTGAGCACGATGCAGTTCCAACTTGAGGCCGTGCTCGAAGACTTCCGATGGAAAGCACATCTGTCGCAAACACTTCCTTCCGTTGCGCGTGACAACCGAGATAACGTCAAGATGTGTCAGGACAGATCAAGTTCCTTGCACATGCCAACAGTGCTCTCTCTGCCAAGATGCAGCGACTGTGCCAGTGTCACTGAACTCGGACTGAAGTTGTCCAACTCCTCGTGCGGCTGCATCACCAGGCAGGCCGAGAAACCTACGTGAGAATGAAGCGCACGATGACCAGGCCCGTAGCGAGGGGCTCTTGCTGTCCTCGAGCCTCGCTTCGCCCGCCGCAACGCCATCCGTCAGTAGGTAGGTGGTCTTGCTGTGACGACAGGCTATATCCAGCAGCATGGCCTGCACCGCAGGGACGCATCACCGTGCCTGCGACAATTCTGCCTTGGCCTCTTCTCGAGGTCGGTCAACGAGAGCAACGTAAGCTTCGAAGGCGCACCAAATGCCTAAGAATCACGATGCCTGTGTAATTTCTAATCAGGTCTCGAAAGTTCGATGCCAAATGTGTGAGGAGGAGTCTGATCCGCATTAATGCCATGTGCCAGGATGCGCGTAAACGGAGTTGCTGGGCCCACCTTGTCCATGAAAGGTCGATCGGTAAGGCTCCATAGAAGCATCGACACGCAATGAAAGCATCGCTACGGCCAACGACAGACGCCGGCCTCATCCAGTATGATGAGCACGCCCTTCGACAAGCACATTGCCTGCGATCTCAAAGAGGTGGGGGCCAGGCTCTAGGAATAGCTTCTTGGGTGGATGCCTTGTAGAAGCTGGTTTGCGATGGATCGGTGACGAGTTCATCCTGCAAGGAGTGCTGCCTGTTCGCGTAGGCACATATCCAGTAGAGGTCCTCAGCCCGCATCCCAACAGAGTGCACGGTCACTCTCATCCACTCCCTTGCCAAGCGGCAGTTTCTCGCAAGGCTTGGTGTACTTCTACACAACTGACGAAGTCCTGAATGGGCTCGCCCCACCTTGCTACAACTACGGGATGCTTGGCGCAGGCACGATGCGGCTGCGGGGTTGTTCATTGCCATTCATTGTGGTATCTCATGCTTGTATGGAGCTTGTCCGCTCGATCGGGACATCTGGCCTTATCAGACTCGACTCCCAAAACCTCTGTGATCGGACTGTTGAGCCAAGCCACCAATGGCTGCAAAACCAGTTGGGTGCTTGATCGCCCTCTGCCAGGAGCCTTGGCCAGCTCTTACAACCTCCTCATACAACCAGACTGCCATGCACTGCAATGCTAGGGAACTCCACGAAGCTGCAGTTGTCGACGTGGGTGGCAGGAAGGATACACCATGTACACATGTGGTACAGGTTCAGGAAGTCCATGCGGAGTATCTGGCCCGAAGTTTTCGAATATTCGGGCGGAGAGAGATCATGCCACAGCTCGCAGTTTTGCTGTGCAAAGTTCCGGATGTCCTGCAACCTGGAGAGACATGCCTTGTGATCAAAATTTTGCCTAGTCTCAACACTCCTTCTTGCAGACCGCGGAACTGGGCCAGGGACAACCCACGGTTCTCCGTCTTTGCAATTTCAGATCTCACTGTGAACTTATTCTGCAGCCGTGCCATGTGGTCGCGAAACTCCACCTTCGACATCTGCAGCGTTGCCTGCCACGCTGAATGCTGCTTCCTAGCGCCGGCACTGCGATAGCAAAACCTTCCTCAATTTTTGGTCGAACTGCGCAGTTCACTTTAAGCGTACCACTGTCTAAATTTTATGATCGTCTGTGGCCTGCATCGAGGCGGCACGACCGTCCACTGTGCTGAGATCATGTGGCCTTTCCTCGGGTCGTCACACTTGCACGGAGCACAGACGGATCTCCAAGTTGCTGTGGAGAATACGGCAAAGTAAGGGTTCAGATCGCGAAAATGTGACACTTTTCATGTGATGGATTTGCCGAGGCCTGCAACGAAAAGATCACAGCAAGACCACTGCCAAAAGATCAAAACCAAGCAACGGGCACACTTGCGCTTGCTTCCCGGACTTCCTGCTCATGCTATCGTGACCCCGCGCTAGACAGCCTCATGAATCGGCGTGGCGTACAGAACCATTTCTGGATCTACCGGTAAATGTGCTATGCGAACGGATAGATACACTCCCCAGAGTCTCTCCGGCCTTGCCTCGGAGCAGGTTCCCGCATGCGACTCAGCTGCCGAGCCAGCGGCCTTCTGCGCCGACGCCGAAGACCCAGACCCCATGGCGCGAGAAGGCACGGCTCAATTTTCCTCCGCACGCTGGCAAACGGGCTTTCGCATCGGCACCCCCTCCCAATCCTTTGCAATGAAGACAACGCGACCTCACCTTTTTACCTCGGAGTCTTCGCAGCCCATGTCAACGTGCAGACTGAGTGCTCTGCTTGCTGCATTGGCTCCGCAAATGTCTGTTCCTGGCACTCCAAGCCGGGCTCTCTTCCTCTATCTTCCCCACGACCTCCGTAAAGTTTATGGTGTACGTGTGAAACCAGAAAAAGAACAATCAGGCAGCCTTGGCCCAGCCGAGTATAAGACTTTGGCACAGTCCCGGGTCCCAAACAAACCCCGAGCAGCCCACGTCATGTCGGCATGCTGCTTTATCAAAGCATGCTACGCAACAGGTACAACCAGATATCGTCTCCTGACTCTCCCTGATTTGTCGGTCATCCCTTCGCAACGGCCATGTTGATCTCATCGCGCTCGGGGCGGCAAGAGTTCTTTTATCGCAAAAACTTTGAAGACGCACCGTATCCTGCGCCGGGAGCGGAGCAGGAGAGCTCGGGGCCAAAGCCTGCCAGGAAAAGCAAGCCGAAAGCCATAAGCGCATTCAGCCATCACCCTGGCACAAACGTAGACTACAGCCGTGAGTTTTAAACAGCATCGCAGAGGCCGGTCTCGGTTCACATGAGTCTTGAAACAGACTTGCAATCTTGCCGTCATGCCGTCCTTCGGCCGTGCCCTGTTCGATTTGGCAAACTGTGCGCCCAAGAAGGTCCGCACGTTTGCCGTGCCCTTCCACCAACAAAATGAAAGCACTTTGAATGCTGCGTGACCTGTGCGCCGCCCATACTCGGAACACATGCGAAGGAACTGCTGAGGCACGAGCCTCGCTGTGAGCTCTGAGCTGGATCTCATGCAACACGCTAGATTGCCCTGCTCTGCGGCATCTCCGACTGCAGCTTGTATGCAGCAGCAGGCCCGCGAAAGCAGTTGGATGGGCTTGGTCGAAAAATCATTCAAATACCGAACTTTCCAGATTTGACACGCTTTGCCGCTAAATGCAATGGCACTTCTGGGCACCCTCCACTTTGTGGATGTGCTCGCTTGCCCCAACTTGTAATAATGGCTAGAACTAGACACATGTTCGAAAACCATGTTATCAGATACAGCCATAACGCATAAAAGAGCACTACATTTCACCACGTCTCTCTCAGGACTGGACTTCTCTCGTTCCCATCTGTAGGCGAGCCCGGGCTGATTTCAAAAAACGCGGCAAAAGGTGTTCCGGGACGGGCAGAGCGGCGGGCACTTCAAGACCACCAGCTGACCGCAGAAGGCCAACTCACAAAAGTGCCGTTTGCCTTCGTTTGTCATTGTGGGACACCAGACTTGCTCGTTGAAGATCCGGCCGCTGAAATCCGCTCAAATGTACAGAAAGCTGATAAGGCTGATGTGGTTGTGGGCTGGGAAGTAAAATCATCTAAGCACTTAGATAACAGGATTCCTCTGCGATACTTCCCAACCTCAGCTGCTTGCTTCGTCGCGCAGAGCTGCGGGAAAATTCAGCTCCACCATGCCCTATGCAAGCCAATGCATCGTTGCGACAGTGTCTAAACAACCTGGCGGTCTTCGTACGGCACGACACGCAAGCTCGTGCATGTGGCTCACACCCATCTAGCAGATTCAACCGTTTCCGCGGGTTCGGACAGGGTACTGTAATTGGGCACGCGGCCGAATTACATGAGCAGAGTCCCAGGTACAAAACGTACTCCGTGTCTTCCGCCAAACCCACAAAGGTGAAGCTGCTAGATACCGGGGTGAGGGCTTGCTTCATGCATCAGCCCAAGTGGATCGAAAAGATGGAGACGAAGGAACCGGCACAACCCACAGCAACAATTGAGATCGACAAGCTGTGCCATTCGGCAGCATGCCATCTTAAGAAATCTCCTTAACAATAGAAGCGAGCTTGCACTTCTTGCACGCTTCTGTGGAACACTTTGCGCGTCATGCAGCCAAAAGCCCAAGTTCCAGCCAGCTGCACCTGTCATGAGCCGCTACTGGCGACACATCATGGGCGGTGGTGTGCAATGTCTTCAAAAACGAGCACTTCTTCAGCCAAGTGACGGAGGTCCAGTTCCGTGTCTGTGGAAGACACTTCGCTAAGCGGACACGGCTCCTCAGGCAGGGCTGGCATAAAACGCTAACGTTAGATAGATAGATAGATAGATAGATAGATAGATACATACATACATACATACACACACACTTGCATACGCATATGCATACATACATACATACATACATACATACATACATACCCATACCTACATACCTACATACCTACATACCTACATACATGCATACATGCATACATGCATACATGCATACATGCATACATGCATACATGCATACACATACACATACACATACACATACACATACACATACACACACACATACACATACACATACACATGTACATACACATACACATACGTACGCTCATATACACACACATACATACATACATACATACATACATACACGCATACATACGCACACACACACACATATATATATACATACATACACACTGTCGTACACATACACACATACGTTGCTTGAAAACTTAGCGCCTTCGTTTGCACGTATACATATAATAAATACAGACACGAAACGGGGATATGTAAATATACATATGTAGCTAACAGCACATGCATCCTTGCATCCATGCATGCATACCCTTTGTCGTTTCAGTCCCTCGGTCGGCAGCTGGTACCGAAGAGAAAGGAGAGACCCCGTCGAACTTTGCTAGCGAGGTGCTGGCCCAGGGATCAATGGCGTTGAGGTCCATGTTGAGGAAGCTGAAGCCATCATCATCATCATCATCCTCTTGAAGAACTTTCTTCTGTTCACGGTTGGCGTCCTCGTACTCAATGCCAGCCTTGCCAGGAAGTTGGAAATATGGGTCGAAGAGAAAGTCACCAGTGACTGCTGTGCTCAAGCAACGTGTGGAAGCTGCCTAAACAACTCCCCGCCATCGCCAACCCGAATCACTAAAGGGAACGCAGCACATCGACATCTCCAGCTGCTTGCTCATGCTCTTGCCGCTGCCTTGCTAGCACTGGGAAGTGGTTGGCTTGGCAACTGCGGTAGGTCCTCGGACTTGGAGACCTGTTCGGGTCATTCAAGATGGGTACTTTCAAGGGAAAGGAAAAGCACTGGCATGAAGCACACCTGAAAAGAACCTTCATTGACTCATGCATCATTGCTTACGGCCAGCCTTCGCCGCCCTGCTGGAGGGATTGAGTCTTGCGGGCTCAAGAGCAGGAACCTGCGAGAGCTTTATACAGGGACTTCTCCCACGCTCGAACTTGGCCCGATGCACATGCTCACGCCTTGCTTGACTGATGTGCTCAAAACGTATCATGCCGTCACGCACCTGAACCAGGGAGTGGCTCCGCCCCGGTCTGGCAGTTGGTATCAACGAACTGGATGCAGGCGGCTGCATGTCCTTTGTTGAAGCCAACAGCACCAGCTGGTCAGGAAATCAAACTGACACGACTAATTACCGGTCGCCTGCAACCGTCAAGTGCAAGCTGTGTGCCTCCTGGACCGCAGCAGCAACTTCCAATCGTCGAGCCAGCGCAGCATGGCCCACCGTCGCCAGTTCCTTGACCATCCGGTGCCTTAGCGAGAAGTCCGGCTGATTTTTGCGACCGTCACCCAGCCGATTCCAACAAGCGACTGGTAGCTCCTCCTGCCATTCCGAACGCGGTCATGAACCTTCAAGCGAATGTTTAGCTTGCGATCTCAAGCTCTCGCATGCTTCTGGCGCACGAACGGTTCGGTCAACGCATACCACTCTGACGTAGAATTGAGCGCAGGGTCACAGGATGACTTGGATGGGCTAAGCTGGCCATGTTGTCAGGCAGCTTGAATTAGGCTTCTGATGCTGTCCGCGTCAGTGTTCGCACATTTAGCTCCAGCTACCGAATCCGTCTGGCTTTCCTGCACTAGGCATGAGGCAGCCAGAAAACAGTAGCTCGTGCTCCGCCCACACAGAGCAAGAACTCCCAGACATAACCAAGCTTCAATAACAATTCTTTTGTTAATCTGCATCATCGGGTTTATGCTGCGCTTAATAATAAACTACGCTGCGATTCCAATTGTCAGTGAGCATGGTCCGCCTACCTGATTGCACATCTTTGTGCCAGTAGTTCTGTTGCTATTTCGTGAGCGCAGTGCCGGGCCCGAAAACCCGAGAAGCGAGCTGTCTGTTTGCAACCGCAACCCCACGATTTACAATATCATGTATTACGAACGGCACAACGACTCGAACCCATCTCCTAGAAGCTGTTGGCGGTTGGTTGCTGATTTGGGTACTTGGCAGTCCCCTTCTGAAGAACCTTTGAATGCAGAAGAATCATCTTAGTATTCTCGGCTGTCTGCACCATCTTGTTCCCGAGGTTCCGTTCCAGCTGTTCTCTCCCTGCCCCTGAGTTTGGAAGACTTCTCTCCGACTTCGAGGCGGTGCAAGGGTATATGAGGGGACATAGGCACAGTGTGAAGCCCGTTGCCTGGCCAAGAGGAGCAAGCTGAGATGGTCCATTGCGCGGTGGTGCTGGTGGCGCGCAGAGCCTCATCACCGACCTGAGTACAAGGGACACAGGGCAGCTCCGCAAGCACAGACCCCCCCCCCCCCTCGGGGGCGACTGCATGGTTGCTGCCGTTCAGCACGCAGACGATTCACATTTCTGCGGCCGGGCTGCAGGTGAGAGAGCTCCGGGACCTGCCTTGGTACGTTCTATGCGGCGAAAAGTTGTGGATGCTCCATGCACGGCAGTGCCAAGAGCAGCAAGTCAACTGCACGTCAGAGACCGCATGCTTTCGAAGGGGCCCTGGGATCTCCGAGTCCGGCAACGGCGCCGAGGTGTCGACCTGCACATGCCGGTAGTCCTCTACTGCAGCTCCTTCTCTTGCTTTTTGTCAGTTTCATCTAGCACCGACCATGCATGTTTCGAGGTGCCAGGACGAACATTCAGGAACATTCGCCCTCGAGGTGCAACGTCGCGGGATGAGTGCAAGCATACCCTACCTCGGGAAGGCTCGGTGCCGGATCATCGGTGGCGTCACGGTCCGAATCATCTGTCATGTGGTCAAGAATCCGATCAGTAAAACACGTCAAAAAGGAGCCGGTGCCTGCGGGTTGCTCTTTCTCCCCATGCCACGCTATTCTTCTATCCCGACGGCGCGTCTGCCGTTGATATTCGTACGAGAGCTTGAGCTCCTATTGCCAGGTCATTTGGGCAAAGGTATTCCTGCTCCGGTGACCAAAAGAAAGTGTGCATTTTGCAGCAGGCCTGTTTGACTAATGAACTTGTGAGCCGTCGAAATAGCATGGGTTCGGAAATATAGCCGTATGAGAAGTCGAAAGCCTTAACGGTGTCCTGCTTTCTGGCAGCTGCGACCTCTGCAAAGTACTCCTTCTCCTCTGGAAACCTGCTCGATGCTGCAGTTGGTAACACAGACCACGGAACGGGATATGTCGCTAGCGATGTCTCTGAGGCTTCTTCCCCACCCCGCTAACTGTCCATCCGTTTAAATGTTTGTCACCCAGCTGGCCTTTCAAGAACGGCCTGAAAAAAACGGTTCTTCAGCACGAGGCATTCCTCGAGGTCGGCACTGCGAACATGATTGCGCAGGGTATGCAGCCGAACAGCTGAAAACGATTTAGACATTCGTCAACGACCGGGAACCAGCACACGCACCATCCCAGATTGTGAAATGGCTACTAGGATGCGCTGAACACGTGAGCATTCATTAAGGTGTTCAATGCAAGTTGCTGTGCGCTCAAGGGCAATGACGCTGAAACTCCGATGGCTGATCCCATACAGAGCCAGTTCTCCACAGTGTGCTCCTTGGAGATTGAAAAGCTGGATAAACATGGGGCAAACGTGCATGCCGATGACCCAGAGCTTACTGTGCACGGCACGTGTGGTCCTCGTGTCAGCGTGTGTATTTCGCGCAGGTCTGCACCAGAGCACATGCTTGCACGGCCGGAGCAGACGAAGTACCTAGGCCAGCACACTCCGGCTCAAACGCAGGTCGCGAAAAACCACGGATGGCGGCTCTGCCTGCAGTCCGCGGCCAGGGGGCATGCTATAACCTTTGTCACCCTCTTTGATAATGAACTCATCCTTGTCGAACATCTCCTGTCAGCCGTCGAGTGGATTGATCGCCTGCCCGGGACGCTCCTGAGAGCGTCGCCACGGCCCCAAAATCCACATCAAGTATCTTGCGGTGCTCCTTTTCAAGGAACTTTCCGAGAGTTTCCACGAACTTGGGATTCCTGTCTGCGAAGAAGGCATACTCGAACTTCCTGCGCAGGCAGCAAAAGCAAGTGCTGAGGTGTTTCTGTGAAAGTAATTGAAAGAGCTCCGGCCTGGTTCGCTCATTGTAGACACGAGGTGCATCCTTGGGTCGATGGAACCGGGTGGGAATGCATCTACATTAAATTTTGTAGGTATCTAGGTATGCATGCATCGGCGGGTGTGCGGGGGTTATGTCTGTATGTATGCAAGCATGTATGTACCCGTAAGAGCAAAGTCCGTTGCATACGTGAGTTGGTAGGCAGGTCGGTGGGTAGGGAGGGGAGGTTTCTTGTTGCACCATTGCTGAGCGAGTCACTTGGAAGGAGTGTTGATAGGTAGGTAGGCAGGTAGGCAGGTAGGCAGGCAGGGAGGTAGGTAGGTAGGTAGGTAGGTAGGTAGGTAAGTAGGCAGTCAGGTAGGTAGGTAGGTCGGTAGGTATTTAGAGAGGTGAGTGGGTATGTACGGGTTTAAGTAAAGGATGTATGTCAGTTCAAGGTTCAGCGGATACAGAGGCTATCTGCTCGGTCAAGAATGCAAGCAGGCTCCCACGGCGGACGCGAAGGCCAAAGTCGAGAAACTGCGGGTGACTTGATTTGAGTAAAAGCCGGCAGTCAGGATGTTTAGATAGGCTCGCCACCTTGTTTTCGGTAGTGGGGCTATCGTATGATGCTGTCACGCCGATGAAGGTGTGTTCACCGTTTCAGCGCGACATGGAGCAACAGCCGAGGAGAAGCTATTGCAGTTGAAGAAGGCCGGGACCAGCACGCGCTGCCCAGAATCGGTACAACTAGCCTCGGAGCTTTATTTGCCAAGTGAAATCAGCGGAAGCATCCTCTTCCAGATTTTTGTTTTGACTTGGCGACAGTCAGTTAAACCATATTTTCCGGACAAGCAGAGGGATTCGCGAATCTTGATTGGAAGACCGCCAGGGCACTGGGCAGGAGGCCGCGGCAGAGCCTTCAGAAGCAACAGCAGATGGCGCACAAGGCGTAGAATACCGGAGGGTTACAATTGGCATTGAGGATGAGTGAGTGACCTTTGTGACGCAAAGTTCGACGTTTCTAATTAAAGCATATCGAGTTTTGACCTTAACACGTCATGTTCACTTGCTTTGACGCTTTCGCGAATTGGCATCAGATGCCCGCAAGCTCCGGCCTGAGCTTGGTGCCTGATAGCGTGCGGTGTCGGTACTGTAGTTTTTAATAGCAACACATCAACCAACATTGCACAGTCGTGCTTTGACCTATGATTTGCGATTGAACAATATGACACAACACCTGAAAGCCATCATTATCAACGTCTGCAAAGCCAGTAGGCTTGAACATGCTGCATCGGCAGTTTCAGCTTAATGTCCCAGAGAAGCCAGAGTTTCCCAGGTACCGTCTCGGATTCCGTGGCATCGTTCCTGTCTGAGGCAGGTCGGGTTGGACTTCAGGCGTTGACAGCATTGACAGCGAGCGCTCCCGGCTTCGAGGACGTCTTGGCGAGACTCTGGCGATTCTTCAGATTTGTCCGGGAATGCAAGTAGAGGTCGTAATCATTTGTAATACAGTGATAAAAGCAATGCTGTTCCTGGGGGTTCCTGTTTTGGTAAGTGTTCTACTATGAAATGCCCCCAAAGCTGTGATAATTGTCTAGGGCTTTATAGTTTCTCGTTTTGCACCAGTGGTTTTTGGGCTTTCAGGTTTCGAACTGCAATTCCCTTTTTGCGGATCTGATTGCCTATTTTTTTCCTTACTTGTGCCGGCAGCACCTGCCGAGCAGGAAGCAAGCTCACAGGGGTTGTGATCTTTGTACGTCATTCCTGGCAGTTGGCATCAGTCAGCGCAGGCGGCGAACCGACAGCGGCTGCGGGCCCTGGCACAGGAGTGGTTGTGGGGGGTCCGATGCAATGTTTGTTTACGTGTGATCTAGAATCTAGCTTGATGTTCTGGTTTATGAAGTCTTTCGGAAACGTAAGTATTAGCTTGCAATTCCAGCCCATAGTGTTCCACCAGCTGTCGGAACGTCGTGACCGTCATCTAGTAGCTGGAAAGCTGGATCTCATCGGCACATCCACTGCAAGTCTTGTTAGTTTCGGGTGTGTGCTTATTATTTGTTCATGCCGAGGGTCTGCATGCATGATTTCTCGGCCAGGATTTCTCAGCCCTAGTCAAACCTTCAACCCCAAGCTGCACGCTTGCAGCTCTTTCAAAACCTGGACGCACAAACCCTACGTCTGTCAAGGAGCTTGCAAAAAAACGTGGCAGCCAAGCGGCTGCGCCGGCGGCATCTGCTTGGAAGGCAGCTGAGCGCGTTCGAGCGTTGCATTTGGGCACTGATGGGGCTTCGCCGGAAAAAAATTGCAGGCACGGCTGACGCCAGCCCCTGCAGAGGAGAAAGTTGCTGTGGAGGCGCCCGCGAACTTGTGGTCCCCTCCCTTTACAATCAGATCCGTTCAACTGAACCCTAAACTTAAGCCTATACACTCTAAACTCCGTGTTTTCTATATACATGGTTGTGTTTATCTTTTTGGCATGAACGCCCGGACAACCCACTCCCGGCTTCATGTGCATCCTGACGAAGCGTCCCAAGAAACAATACCCACCCTGCAAGTCAGGAATATATACGTACAGGCACACATCTTTCAGCCTTTTGATAGCGCTGCTTTTGTTGATGATTTAGGTGCATGCTTTATTGAAGCCGTTCAAGCCTTCTGGCAGGTTGGCAACCAGGGGGATGGGCTCTTGGACGACTTCGTAGCCCGATCGAAGGTGGCTGTCGAGAGCAAGGACATTCAGTTTGTCTGTTTCATTTTTTCAATACACCTTTTTCGCAACAGCACGAAGAAGATCCAGTGCGGTCCCTGTGCAGACTGCAGTCTACGGGGAAAGAGGCTCCGCGGCTGGGGCCGCGGGCACGCGGGGGCGGTGGCTGTTTCATTGAAGCGTTTCCACCTGCACCGACGACCCAACGAGGTCGATCGACCCTTCTCTAGTTGTATTTAGTGTAAGAAATATTTCTTTGATGATCTCTCGGTTGTGCCTGTGGGCTTCTTCCGCCGTTTCGCAGGTGGCACCGCCTCTGGGAGGTTGTGGGTTTGAAGGTTTGAGACTCAGATTTTTCGGGTTTGAGTTTTGAGGTTTCAGGGCTTGAGTGTGTAGTCTTAGTGGCCTGCTCTGATTTTGCAGCAGGACAGCCCCCAACCGAAGCAGAAGAACGGAGGCGGGCCTTGGGGTAAAATGCAGGGTCCTTTGACTGCTTTTTGAGCAAGGGCCTCCCGCCGTTGCTTTTACCACGACGGGTCCTAGTGCAAGCGCAAAAGCTACAGTAGTGCCGGAACCAGTGCGAAGTCCCACTTTGAATTCGGGGAGGGGCAAGTATACTGGTCCGGGGTACCCAGCGGCTCCGCGATGTGACAGTACTGCTTCCCTTCGTCCTCCTTCGGCGCAAGTGCCCTGTTGTTCTTCAGCTGTTGCTGCTTGTAGTGAGTTGTCCTTGCTGCCACTATACGGGTTCCAGGAGGATGAAGGCAAAGCCAAGTCTGCCGGGTTTTGGTTTCAGCGCTTCCAGGCTTGGAAGTGTAGGAGGCAGAATGTAGCGAACAAATACATGAACAGAGGGGAGGGAGAGAGAGAGAGAGACAGAGACAGGGGTTTCCCCTCACACCCCCAGCAGGCAAGCAAGACAGAGACAGAGGGAGAGCGAACGAGAAAAACTATGATACGAGGATATACGAGGCAAGATCAGAAAGAGAGGCAAGTTGTTACAATGCACGCATGTGCGTGCATACGTACGTACGCACGTACGTATGACCGTACATACGTACATACATGCACCAGACGTGCATGCAGACATGAATGCATGCATGCATATCATATGTATACACACACACACGCGCACACGCACGCGCACCCAACGCGCACCCGCACACACACACGCACAACACAGCAACATGCGTGCATGCAAGCACGCATAGCGCAGGGTTTTTGAAGTGTACTCGGTTGCAGGCGCAGAAGCCGACGTCCTTGACTCAGCGCAACTGTTTGCACGCTCGGGGGTAGAGCTCCTCAGATTACTAGGATGTGTGTGTATATTTATGTGGGTTTCGTTTACCGGGTGCCAGCCTTTCGTGTATTTCTATTGATGTGACTCTAGCTCTCTCCACCTCGGCCCTCACCTACTACCATGTATTGAAGCTTGCACAGGGCCGCTGGGTGGCAGTTTCGGATACCTGTAAATTTCCTTGATGGTGTTACAGAATTACTGGCTCATGATTAGCCAAGCCTGCGCCAATCCTTCAGTCCTCCAGTCGCGAAGCTCCCCTGACCCTAAGCCCCACTGTACCCTAAACCGCACCCCTAAGTCACCCTGTCCCGGGTGTGAACTTGTAAGGAGCGGAGGAAGAAGAAGGTGAAGAAGGAGAAAAGGACTGATGGGTTGACGAGCCTGGAAGCCTGGAAGCCCTCGATCTCTAGGCGAAAAGAAAACTTTAAAGAAGGTACGTGGGTGGCTGACTTACTGCCCTGGTGTTTGGACACATTGCAATTCCTGGAATGCAGTGTAATTTACGGAATATTTGAGTTTTAGGGCGAGAGCTCTGAAATTCAGAAAAATTTCGCCTTGCCTGTAAGGAAGCCGTCCCGTCTTACCATAGTGACAGGGACGTTGTCATCCTTCGCGCATGAATGCTCGATCCCACATTATGCTGGGGACATGGACGTTATCATCCTTCGGGCATGGATACCACAATATAAACAGCAGAAACTACAAGCTTCAAGTACAGCAAACGCCTTGGCAACCAGGTGTTGCCGTAGTTCCAGCATAAAACCCAGACAAAGGCGAAAAACTGCTCGACCCGCAGCAGGTGCATATTCTGCAAAGGCAAAGCCAACAAAAGAGTAAAACCACACCCTGACAAGAAGCAAACATACATTAAGGCGGAGCAAAACTCAGACGCAGTAAAAGTGAAAAGACGCTCCGGGCAGCAGGCCAGCCCCTAAACCCCATACCCTGAACCCCTGAACCCTAAACTTAAAACCTAACCCTTGAACCCTCACCCTGAAACCCCTAGAGCCGAGACCCTCTGCAGGAGGCGGAAAGAGGCCGAAGCGGGCCTGGAAGAGCAGGTGGCTTTGGGTTCTGCTTTCGGGGGTGTAAGTTGAGGGTTCCGCGCCGTTAGAGCTTCGGGTTCAGGGTATAATTGGGAATTCGGGATGTTTAGGGTGTGTGGGTTTTAGGGATGTTTAGGGTATGTGGGTCTACGGGCTTTATTGAGGTTTAGAGTTGGAGGTTTTAGGGTACAGAAACCTTTAGCAACGAGCCTCCGAGTCTCCTGCGCAGATGCCTGGGGCAAGCTGGGATGGCGCAATACCTGGCAATACAAGACTGTGACTAAGAGGCAATGAACTTGAGTGCCTCTCTCTCTCTCTTGTCTCGCTCGCCTGGTTTTCCGAAAGCGATTGAGCGCTGCCCCAACACCTTGCAAGCTGCTAATTGTAATAGTATGCACCGCAGTAGCATCGTAGAGTCGCGTGCCCCTCTCTGGTAAAGAGCCGCTGCCCTGGACGAAGGAGCCGCCGACGGACCAGCTTGCACTGACCGAGGCCGGGTTCGATTTAAGGCTGCCTTTACAGGGTCGTTAAATGAGGTTTGGGACGTCTGCGTTTGACCGTGAGTGTATACACGCTTTCCTGATGGTAGTTCACGGTGACCGGGCTCGTGGTCACTTTTATCATGTTCTCAGGTTGAGTTTGCGTACGCTTCGACAGCGGCAATTTCCTTGTCAAGCTGTGAGACTGCATGGTTTTGGTAGGCTTGCGGATGTGTGGGTGGAAAGCTTGTACGGAAATTCCATGACACTGAATCCCAAAAGCGTAAGCGACCCAAATTGCAAAGCTTGCGAACATCTTCCTCTCGAAGTTTCGAAGGCTCGGGTCTTGCGAGCCTTAGATCCTACACCCTGCAGCCCAAATCGCGGGTTTATGGCTTTGACTATTATAGACTCCAAGTCGTAGGATCCTCAGTGTAGGGAACCCTTGCAGGGATGTACTAGAAATTCTCGACAGTCGCGCTGCCAGCTAGACGGCACGAATCAAAAGAATCCCTGGTTTCAAGAACCCAGGAGGAGGAGGAGGAGACGGAGGAGAACTGGCACCTCGATGAGGACTACTCTGTGGCACCTGACGGATCTGCGCCAATTCTGGATCCTCTGCCGATGGTCACCTTGGGCAGTCACGGGTAGTCCTCCAAGCTGGGATTACTTTTTGGGCTCATCCCCAGAAGAGCAGCAGAGCGTGTCACTATTATAGTATTTTCCTGTAAGGCACGTCTGACTCCCCCCCCTCAGCGAAGCTCAGCGACGCCTCCTGGTCCGGTTTCGGGTATACAGGGTGTTATTATGTTTTATTTAAGGTTTTACCAGCCCGATACTTGCAGCCTTTGGCTCTTATACCTAGCATACCTGCATCCTTGCAGCCTTGTAACGTACGCACAAGCCCCAAGCACCCAACCCCCAACCAACCAGAGGCTATGACAATTCGCGCAAAGACAACCCCAAGCTTCAGCCAATCCCCCCCAAAAAGCCGTGCGAGGACGAGGAGTATGTGCAGACGGAGGAAGCCGAGCAGTCGGGAGAGCCTGCGGAGGAGGCGCGGGGGGGATGTCTCAGATTGCCTGCATCTGGGAGGGCTTACTTGTAGTAGGGGTGTTGGGGAATCAGGTTTGGCGTGGGTGTTTTGGGGTTCGGGCCTCTTAGGGTTTTGGCGAAGTGACTGTTACAGCGACACAGCTGAGTCGCATCGTGTTTTTTGGGCCCCACCCCACACACAGTGGAAGTACCCAGGGGGTCACATCACCGAGGGTCTACTTGGGACCTGTCGTTGATTCGGGATTGGTGAGGTTTGATTGCTGAAGCTGAATTTACAGCAATTTACATTGATAATTTGCTGCTGCGATGCCACTGATGTGTTTCTTGTGCAGGTGCTTACGAAATCGAGCGTCTAACTGGGGAATGACTGGTTTTGATGTGCTCGTTGCTGTGATGCCACGGGGAAGAATGGCTGGTTTTGCTATGTTATTTCGGAGCTAATCACGTTGCCCTGTGGAAAATAGGCCCAGCTCATCCAAACCAGTCCCGGTCACACTGTTTGCCGCTGGGCACAGACACACATACATAGGACATACAGACAGAGACACGCCGACATGGGCAATGGCTGGTTTGGGCGTGCTGTGATGCCACTGATTTGTGTCTTGTGCGTGCGCTTGTGAACCGAGCATCTACATGGGGAGTGGCTGGTTTTGGTGTGCTATGATGCCGGAGGTGTGTGTTGCGTGGGTGCTTCTGAAATCGGGCGTCTACATGCGGAATGGCTTGGTTACCATGTGTTTTTATTTTTGAGTACTAGTGGATGCAGCCTTGCTGATGCGGCGTCTACATTGGGAAAGCCATGTTGATGTGACCATGATGTGACCCCTCGCATCGCGCGCATCCCCTTAGACAGCTGTGTTCCAACAAAACGTGAAGTGACTTAGCTGTGCTGCTGTAGCATAATAAGCGGCGTTGGAAGCTTTGCAGGACCCATACACAACGAAGCTTCAATCGTACAGCATGGAATCTCCTGCGCGCCCTAAACCCTGAACCCTTCTCAACCCAGCAGAATTTCAGTGAAGTTAGCCACGGAGCCTCGGATCCCCACGCCTCTACGCAGAAAGCTCATACAGAGCAATTTTCACCAAGTCATCCACTTCTGGCTCTTTCAAAAGGGACCTTGTTGAGAGGGCCTCTATCTGTAAGGGTCCCCGGAATCCGGACTCCCAACTAAACTCCAAAGCCCAATCTCTCATCCCAAACCCAAGACCCAAACCTCTGGAACTTCCAGGAGCCGAAACCCAAGAAGAAAAAGAAGAAGAGTCGGGAAGGCAGGAATTCTTTTTGCATCTGTAGGCCTCTGGGTTCATGGGGTTGAGGGTTTAGGACTTATAGCTTGTGACAGATTGTCTTTGGGTTTGGGGTTGAGGCCTACGGCCTGCAGGAGGCTCAGAGCCTTTGCTGGTTTTACTGATTGACGGAGTGCCTTAAAACGTCGCTCTACCAGGGGCTGCGAACCCAGCAGCCTGAACCCTAGCACTAGCCACTTCATCTCAAAATCTAAAGCCTAAGAAATTAGCCTGGGATCTTTCGACCTCTGAGAAGTGGGTAGTTGCAATGCAGACAGAGCGCACGCAAGAGCAGCCATAAGACTGTCATGCCCTGCACCCCTGTGACTCTAAACTGAGGTTTGACGAATCTAGGGCTTAGGGTTTTATCATTTGCGTCATTGAGTGATTGGCTATGAACCGTATGAATGCAGCTATTGCAGCTGACCATGCTTCGCAACATTTTCACATTGTTTAGCTGCCAGGTTTCAATGTGTTTGGCTTCAGGGTTTGAAACATCAAGGAGTCCCCGCAGCCAAAGTTTTTTCGCGGGATCGTCGCAAGTGTGTTGGGGGGGTCGTACTGCCAGGTGAGCCGGCAGAGAAGGCCGAAAAGAGCGGCAAAGCTTCGAAGGCGTCGTTTTCAAATTGTCGAAGCAGAGCAGGATGCTGCCAGGATGCTAAGGTTTGTCCTGGGGTTTAGGGTGGTACTGACTAATCTTTCAGAGGACTTGTTTTTGAACTTGTCCTAGTGAGAGATAGCCAGAATGAGAGTACTTGTGCTGTGTGTCCTTTATCATTATTTCCAGCGCACTCGTATGATGCCCACCGCCGCCATGGCCATGTTTTTCCCATGACTCGCGTTAGTAGCAGCCTCACTCGTTATCCGACCTGTTGCCATAGCTTGACCACATGGGACCGCGAGGCGAGCAAGAGGAAGACGAAAGCCGAGAAGCCAAAGGTCGGGCAGAACGTGGATAGTTAGGCTATGTAAGGCTTGCAGATTTTAAGGGCTTTCGGGGTTTATGCTTTGGAGTTTCGGATTCTGGGGAGGCGTCTGGGCTTAGGAGTGGGGGTCGCAGGATTGCGCTTTTAGGGAGGGGCTTGGGGTTGGGTTTGTGGTCGAGGTGTCCTCTCCTCCCAGAAGCCCGAGGTTGCACGCGAAGTTTCGGTGCAGATCGAGGGCATGTTGGGGGTCGTTATAAGAGAGTCGAGGGGGATAGAGTCGGGGCTTTTTGCCAAGAGCCCTGATTCTTGTAGTAAGGTTCTGGACTGTGTTCGAGGCTTCCGGTTTCTGAGCAACTTGAAGATACCGTCCTTGGAGTCGGGAACACCCATCACTCGAGACATGGAAAACTCGATTCAATCAGCCATCGCGGCCCCAAGAAGCCCGAAAAAATCGAAAACGCAGGCGCACGAATCTTGTTTGCTTTCTTCTACACCAGCATCCAACTGCAGAGCTGCCGCAGTCAGAAGAAGCTGCCCTTGCACCTGGGATCTCAGATGTAAATTTTCAACTTAGCATTTTCAGACAACAGAACTTCCCGAGCGGTAGTTTTTCACAAACCTGAACCAAACACTTCCTTGGCATCCTATACAATCCTTCTCCGATCTTCCTTTCTTCGAACCTGACAGGGCCCTTTTGTTTCAGCTCAGCCTTACCCCCAAACATCCATGTCAGGCACGTGTGAAGAAGAAAGAGCCGAAGACGGAGAAGGTGGGCCTTGAGGGTTTCACAAGGATGTTGGATGGTTTTGGGCAAGCCAGGGGTTTGAAGGCTTTAGTTTGGGACTTCTCAGCTACAGGTTTAGCAGAGAGAGCACTGATCTTGAGGTGCAGGGTCGCACAGAGTGGTGGTCTACATGCTTTGGTGCGAGCAGTCTTCAGGGGCACTAGTGGGTTATTATGAGTACTGTACTGAATTCCGCAATTTCTCGCACGTCTAACCCACCTTTAATCCATCCACTGAGCAACCGAGTCAAAGTGTTGTGCGATGACTTAACGCGTGAGCTTTTATGGCATACGCTCGAGGTGAAGAAGAAGGTCAGTGAGGAGGGCGGCGGCGAAGCAGAACAGGAGGACGTCGTGCAAATTGCTGGGTCCTCCTTCAGTGCCGGCTCAGTGTCGTGTTGTTGCGTTTATGGTGTTGGCCCCTGTAGTTCCACAAGCGTGGCCACGAGTGCTGCCCTTCAGACAGGCTGGACGTCTCGAGGTGTTGGTGCCTTGCCCGTGGGCGTCTGATCTCAATCACGGCTTCCAATCCTCTGTCAAGTCTGAGTCGCGGGTCTGTTCTAGACTCTTTTCTGAGACTTACGCCCCCAGAGACATCAGATGCACTATCTTGTGTATTCTTCCTTCAGCCCATCGCCGCCTGCGCAATCCACAGTACCAGCAGTCATGGCCAGTTCCTTGATTCTCCACGCATACAAGACCAGAATCATCATCACGAAGTGTTCCTGGAACGATGTGCT